CAGGCTATATGGGGGATCTTTGGTTTGATCTTTGGTGTGTGTGTCACTGTGTGTGTCACAGTGTGTGTGTGTATCACTGTGTGTGTGTCACTGTGTGTGTGTGTACACTGTGTGTGTGTTTGTCACTGTGTGTGTATCACTGTGTGTGTACACTGTGTGTGTGTACACTGTGTGTGTGTCACTGTATGTGTATGTGTCACTGTGTGTGTCACTGTGTGTGTGTCACTGTGTGTGTGTGTCACAGTCCGGCAAAACAACCCCCTACCTCCTCGCGGTGCCGGACGGGCAACTCTGTCGTGGACAGCGCTGTGGGGGGAGATCCAATTTTGATTGGCTCCTCCCCTCATGGCATATGTGTCCACCACAGGGGCTAAACGGGGGCTCTGGACGGGTGCGAGGGACTGGTAACCCCTCCACCTTCAATTAATTACCACGAAACCACGAATTAAACTGAAATATGTAACAACTAAGCTTGTGCCGGAGGCCCCGGGGGGCCAGGCGTCTATGACGTCTCCTGGCCAAACCCCAATTGGCGGAGCCAGGAGATTGAATACCTACCCTCGGGGCTACTCCAGAAACAACGAAAAGCCACTACGGGTGGCCACGTGGAATGTTCGAACGCTCACTGCAGAGGAGAGGCTGCCACTCCTCTGTCGGGAGCTGGACCGGTACCGCCTGGATCTATGCGGCATTCAGGAGGTCCGGTGGACCGGCTCTGGCTCCTGCCACCATGAGGGGTGGACAGTCCTCTACTCGGGGCAGCAGACTGCCAAACAACAGGGTGTGGGTCTTCTTTTGTTCAAAAGAAGACGGGGGCGTGGGAGCGTGGCGGTGAGGTGTGGGAAGCTGTAAGCCCCAGGCTACTTTGGGCTCGCCTTCCCATCAACCGGAGGCGAGGAATGGTGGTCGTGGTTACTTATGCCCCCACCGAAGATGAACATCCGTGGAGGGATGCAGGCAAAGCCGATGAGTCAGATGCCTTCTATGACCTCCTGTCACAGGTGCTGGCTAAAGTGGCCCCTCGGGATAGAGTCATCATGTTGGGTGACTTCAATGCCCGAGTTGGTCATGATACTGGCACCTGGTCTGGAGTGATTGGAGGGCATGGGCCAGATCAGCTCAATAACAACAGTAGGAGGCTGCTAGATTTTTGTGCAGCCCATGGGCTTGTAATTACCAACACGCTGTTCCGGCATCGGCGCATCCACACAACATCATGGATGCATGCCGGGTCCAAGCAAGAACATCTGCTGGACTACATAGTGACGGACCAGCGAATGCGAGCCCATGTCCTTGACACCAGGACCTACCGTGGAGCTGATCTGCCCTCTGACCATCGACTAGTCATCTGTAAGATGCGCCTGCCATTCTTCCACTCCGGTGGTGGGTGTACACCCAGGACCCCATTCCAACCTAAAGTGGCCTGGTCTCAGTTATCTGATGAAAGTTGCAAGCGAGAATTTCATCACTGCTTGCGGCTGGGATTGGCATCGTCCCCGACTCCTCCTGATGTCGAGGGTAAATGGGCGAGGTTTAGGACTGTGACTCATGCAGCTGCAATGGCTGCTCTGGGTACGCGGTCCAGACCTCCCCAGACACCCTGGATGACAGAGGAGTTGTTCAGGATGGTTGATAAAAAGCGACAGGCCCACTGTCATCGGCTACAGAATCCCACGTCAGAGAATGAGGAGGCTTACCGCAGCCTTCGCTCGGAGGTTCGGAGAGCCGTGAGGCGCTGCAAGGATGGGTGGTGGTCGCGGGTTGCTGAGGAGATGGAGTCTGCCTCAGTGGCCCGTGATCACAAATCTCTATTTAACTCCATCAAAAAAGTAACCTGCAGCGCCACACCTATTACCATCATTAGGGGAAAAAACGGTGATCCAATTTCCGACCCCCAGGAACAGGTTCGCAGATTTGCTGAGCATTTCTGTGAGGTCCTGGGGGAGGGAAAATCCCTCAGCCAGGAAAACATCGTGGCACAAAGTGAGGATGACCCTGCTGAGGCTGCGGTGCCTCAAATATTGGATGAAGTCACCCCCTGTGAGTGGCTGGCTGAGGTGCCATCTGCTGAGGAAGTATTGAAGGCGATCCGGAGTCTGAGACCAGGAAAGGCAGCGGGCAGAGATGATCTCCCAAGCGAAATGCTGAGGGAGGGTGGCGTTTGTGCACAGACTGCCCTATATGACATCATAACAACAGTCTGGACCACTGGACGGGTTCCGCAGGATTGGAAGGATGCCCTGGTGGTCCCCCTTTTTAAGAAGGGGGACCGCACAGACTGTAACAACTACAGGGGCATCTCACTCCTCAGTGTGCCGGGAAAGGTCCTGGCAAGGATTATTCAGCATCGCCTTGCCAGGCACGCTGAGGAGAGGCTTGCGGAGCCCCAATGCGGTTTCAGGAAAGGGCGGTCCTGCACAGATGCCATATTTTCTGTCCGTCTGCTACAGCAGAGGTGTAGGGAATTCCAACAAGACCTACATCTCTGCTTTATTGACCTGGTCAAGGCCTATGATACCATCAGTAGGCCTGGGCTCTGGGTCGTTCTTCGTGCTTTTGGAGTACCTGACCCTCTGCTCACGATCATTAAGGACCTTCATGATGGTGAGCGGGCCCGGGTAAAACTACGTGGCCGGGAGTCAGAGCCATTCCCTGTACACCTTGGGGTGCGACAGGGATGTCCTCTGGCTCCCACATTATTTAACATCTATTTTGACCACGTAGTTCGTGAAGCCTTCAATAGCTGTACCGGGGGAATCTCCATATGGTACAGATATAATGGGAGGCTAATCGATGCCCGGGTGCGGTCAAGGGATGGCTCCCTATTGCTCAACCACGTTATGTATGCTGATGACTTGGTAATAGCTGCTCAGTCAGAGGAGGAGTTGGAGACGCTGCTGCTGAGACTGGAGCGTGCCACTAAGAGATGGGGCCTTACCATCAGCCCCACCAAAACTAAGCACCTGCCTGGGTATTTTGCACCATCGGACACTCCACCCCCACAACTCCCAATCGGTGATGGGGCAGTTGTGGAGAGAGTGGAGAGTTTCCCATACCTGGGCAGTGTGCTTATGACTGGCTCCAGTTTAACAGCAGAGGTCTCACTCCGAATCAGTCGAGCGGCAATATCTTTTCATCGGTTGCGTAACGCTGTGTGGAAGCTACCTGGTCTGTCGCTCCGCACTAAGCTTCAGGTCTTCTCGGCCACGGTCATTCCCTCCCTTCTCTACGCTTGCGAAACGTGGACCCCCCTAATGGAACATCTTCGCCGGTTAGAAACATTTAGGCTGGCCTGCCTACGATCCATCCTGGGTTTAACCAGACTGGATTGTGTGAGGAGCTCACAAATCCTTGAAAGATCTGGGCAGGGTCCCATCGGTGAGCTCCTCCGGCAGGCAAGGCTGCGATGGCTGGGTCATGTAGCCCGCATGCCCAGCCACCGCATGCTGAAACAGCTTTTGTTTGGCCGGATTGAGGGGGCTAAGCGGGCGCAGCACGGTCTAGAGAAGAGATGGAGTGATGTGGTACAGGAGGACGTGGAGCTGAGTGGACTTGCCGATGACTGGTACCAGCGGTGTCAAGATCGGCCTCTGTGGAGGAGGCTCGTGAAGGATGCTACTGGGCAGTTGGAGGCAGTCGCCCTCCAACAACAACGGAGGGCGGAGGAGCGACGCTCACAACAGCGAGCGGAGCGCCGGGTGGCTAAAGCACAGCAGGTTGGCACAGTAGGGGGCACAGGTGGTGCATCAGCCAGTCATCTCAGTCAGTCGACCCGTGGCACCTGCTGGGTCTGCCCCGTGACCTCCTGCCAGCGGGCGTTCGACACTTCACGTGGCCTCAGGGTGCACATAGCCTGGCACAAGCGTCGTGGTGACGTCACCGCCACTTAGTGGCGAATGGCGGTTGTTGTTGTTGTTGTGTGTGTACACTGTGTGTGTGTGTACACTGTGTGTATGTGTGTGTGTACACTGTGTGTGTGTACACTGTGTGTGTGTACACTGTGTGTCACTGTGTGTGCGTGTACACTGTGTGTGTACACTGTGTGTGTGTGTGTACACTGTGTGTGTGTACACTGTGTGTGTGTGTACACTGTGTGTGTACACTGTGTGTGTGTACACTGTGTGTGTGTACACTGTGTGTGTGCACACTGTGTGTGTACGTGTGTGTGTACACTGTGTGTATGTACACTGTGTGTGTGTGTGTAAACTGTGTGTGTGTACACTGTGTGTGTGTGTACACTGTGTGTGTACACTGTGTGTGTGTGTAAACTGTGTGTGTGTACACTGTGTGTGTGTGTACACTGTGTGTGTGTGTGTACACTGTGTGTGTACACTGTGTGTGTGTGTACACTGTGTGTGTGTACACTGTGTGTGTGTGTGTACACTGTGTGTGTGTGTACACTGTGTGTGTGTACACGTGTGTGTGTGTACACTGTGTGTGTGTACACTGTGTGTGTACACTGTGTGTGTGTGTACACTGTGTGTGTGTACACTGTGTGTGTGTTTGTCACTGTGTGTGTGTGTACACTGTGTGTGTACACTGTGTGTGTGTACACTGTGTGTGTGTGTACACTGTGTGTGTGTGTACACTGTGTGTGTGTACACTGTGTGTGTGTACACTGTGTGTGTGTACACTGTGTGTGTGTGTGTGTACACTGTGTGTGTGTGTGTGTACACTGTGTGTGTGTACACTGTGTGTGTGTACACTGTGTGTGTACACTGTGTGTGTTTGTCACTGTGTGTGTGTACACTGTGTGTGTACACTGTGTGTGTGTACACTGTGTGTGTGTACACTGTGTGTGTACACTGTGTGTGTGTGTACACTGTGTGTGTGTGTACACTGTGTGTGTGTACACTGTGTGTGTGTGTACACTGTGTGTGTACACTGTGTGTGTGTACACTGTGTGTGTGTACACTGTGTGTGTACACTGTGTGTGTGTACACTGTGTGTGTGTGTGTGTACACTGTGTGTGTGTGTACACTGTGTGTGTGTGTACGTACTCGTGTGCGTCCGTGGGGTTGCGCTGCAGCTCGTGGGCGCTGAGGATCTCGAACGCGGCTCGAACCCCGACCCTCCTCCTCAGCAGCATCGTGCGGATCGAGTTCTGCAGCCCGCACAGACAAAGGTCCCCCGTGTAGCCTCTAACAAGCTGCAGGGGCAAGTGCTGTCAGCTAGCACCTCACACACAGACACAGATCCCCCGTGTAGCCTCTAACAGGCTGCAGGGGCAAGTGCTGTCAGCTAGCACCTCACACACAGACACAGATCCCCCGTGTAGCCTCTAACAGGCTGCAGGGGCAAGTGCTGTCAGCTAGCACCTCACACACAGACACAGACAAAGGTCCCCCGTGTAGCCTCTAACAAGCTGCAGGGGCAAGTGCTGTCAGCTAGCACCTCACACACAGACACAGACAAAGATCCCCCGTGTAGCCTCTAACAGACTGCAGGGGCAAGTGCTGTTAGCTAGCACCTCACACACAGACAAAGATCCCCCATGTAGCCTCTAACAGGCTGCAGGGGCAAGTGCTGTTAGCTAGCACCTCACACACAGACACAGACAAAGGTCCCCCGTGTAGCCTCTAACAGGCTGCAGGGGCAAGTGCTGTTAGCTAGCACCTCACACACAGACACAGACAAAGGTCCCCCGTGTAGCCTCTAACAGGCCGCAGGGGCAAGTGCTGTTAGCTAGCACCTCACACACAGACACAGACAAAGGTCCCCCGTGTAGCCTCTAACAGGCTGCAGGGGCAAGTGCTGTTAGCTAGCACCTCACACACAGACACAGACAAAGATCCCCCGTGTAGCCTCTAACAGGCTGCAGGGGCAAGTGCTGTTAGCTAGCACCTCACACACAGACACAGACAAAGATCCCCCGTGTAGCCTCTAACAAGCTGCAGGGGCAAGTGCTGTTAGCTAGCACCTCACACACAGACACAGACAAAGGTCCCCCGTGTAGCCTCTAACAGACTGCAGGGGCAAGTGCTGTTAGCTAGCACCTCACACACAGACACAGACAAAGGTCCCCCGTGTAGCCTCTAACAGACCGCAGGGGCAAGTGCTGTTAGCTGGCACCTCACACACAGACACAGACAAAGATCCCCCGTGTAGCCTCTAACAGACTGCAGGGACAAGTGCTGTCAGCTAGCACCTCACACACAGACACAGACAAAGGTCCCCCGTGTAGCCTCTAACAGGCTGCAGGGGCAAGTGCTGTCAGCTAGCACCTCACACACAGACACAGACAAAGGTCCCCCGTGTAGCCTCTAACAGGCTGCAGAGGCAAGTGCTGTTAGCTAGCACCTCACACACAGACAAAGGTCCCCCGTGTAGCCTCTAACAGACTGTAGGGGCAAGTGCTGTTAGCTAGCACCCCACACACAGACACAGACAAAGATCCCCCGTGTAGCCTCTAACAGGCTGCAGGGGCAAGTGCTGTTAGCTAGCACCTCACACACAGACACAGACAAAGATCCCCCGTGTAGCCTCTAACAGGCTGCAGGGGCAAGTGTTGTTAGCTAGCACCTCACACACATACACAGACAAAGATCCCCCGTGTAGCCTCTAACAGGCTGCAGGGGCAAGTGCTGTTAGCTAGCACCTCACACACAAAGATCCCCCGTGTAGCCTCTAACAGGCTGCAGGAGCAAGTGCTGTTAGCTGGCACCTCACACACAGACACAGACAAAGATCCCCCGTATAGCCTCTAACAGGCTGCAGGGGCAAGTCCTGTTAGTAGCGAGTGGCCACTGTGGCACAAGAGGGGGTGGGTGGCCAGCACCACGCCCACCCGCCCGGCCGCCTTTGTCTCCCCAGTGGCCGCATATGAGTACTCATTTGAGGCCTAGGGGTTCAGGTAGTCGTCACCGGTGTTGGCCTTGAGCGGGAATCGAACTCGGAGAGCCGGGTTTGTAGCGCTGAACGCTGCACCGCCGCTCCCCACTTTACAGCCCACACACACAGACACCTGTGTCTCCGTGTCTCTCCCTGTGTGTCTCCCTGTGTCTCCGTGTGTCTCCGTGTGTGTCTCCGTGTGTGTCTCCATGTGTCTCCGTGTGTCCCCCGTGTGTCTCCCTGTGTCTCCGTGTGTCTCCGTGTGTCTCCGTGTGTACCTGTGTGTCTCCCTGTGTGTCTCCCTGTGTGTCTCCGTGTGTCTCCGTGTGTACCTGTGTGTCCCCCGTGTGTCTCCCTGTGTCTCCCTGTGTGTCTCGCTGTGTCTCCGTGTGTCTCCCTGTGTGTCTCCGTGTGTCTCCCGTGTCTCCCCGTGTGTCCCCGTGTCTCCCTGTGCCTCCCCGTGTCTCCCGTGTCTCCCCGTGTGTCCCCGTGTGTCTCCCTGTGTCTCCGTGTGTCTCCGTGTCTCCGTGTGTCTCCCGTGTCTCCCTGTGTGTCTTGCTGTGTCTCCGTGTGTCTCCCTGTGTCTCCGTGTGTCTCCCTGTGTCTCCGTGTGTCTCCCTGTGTCTCCCTGTGTCCCCCGTGTCTCCCTGTGTCTCCCTGTGTGTCTCCCTGTGTCTCCGTGTGTCTCCGTGTGTCCCCCGTGTGTCTCCCTGTGTCTCCCTGTGTGTCCCCCGTGTGTCTCCGTGTCTCCCTGTGTCTCCGTGTGTCCCCCGTGTGTCTCCCTGTGTCTCCGTGTGTCTCCCTGTGTGTCTCGCTGTGTCTCCCTGTGTCTCCCGTGTCTCCGTGTGTGTCTCCATGTGTCTCCGTGTGTCTCCCTGTGTCTCCGTGTGTCTCCCTGTGTCTCCGTGTGACCCCGTGTGTCCCCGTGTGTCCCTGTGTCTCCGTGTCTCCCTGTCTCCCCGTGTGTCCCCGGTGTCTCCGTGTGTCTCCCTGTGTGTCTCCCTGTGTCTCCCTCTGTGTCCCCGTGTGTCTCCCTGTGTCTCCGTGTGTCTCCGTGTGTCTCCCTGTGTTTCCCTGTGTGTCTCCGTGTGTCTCCGTGTGTACCTGTGTGTCCCCCGTGTCTCCGTGTGTCTCCCTGTGTGTCTCGCTGTGTCTCCGTGTGTGTACCCGTGTGTCCCCGTGTCTCCCTGTGTCTCCCTGTGTCTCCCTGTGTCTCCCTGTCTCCCCGTGTGTCCCTGTATCCCCGTGTGTCCCTGTGTCCCCGTGTCTCCCCGTGTGTCCCCGTGTGTCCCTGTGTCTCCTGTCCCCGTGTCTCCCCGTGTCTCCCCGTTATTCCCCGTGTGTCCCCGTGTGTCTCCCCGTGTGTCCCCGTGTCTCCCCGTTATTCCCCGTGTGTCCCCTATCTACCTGTGTCCCCGTGTCTCCCCGTGTCTCCCCGTGTGTACCCGTGTGTCCCCGTATCTCCCTGTGTCCCCGTGTCTCCCTGTGTGTCCCCGTGTCTCCCCGTGTGTCTCCCCGTGTGTGTCCCCCATCTCACCACCAGGTATCCGCGGAACTGATTGTAAATGATCGCAGTCAGGAGATTCATGAGAAAATACGTGCCTACACACAGACACACAACAACAACACAACAACAACAACCGCCATTCGCCACCAAGTGGCGGTGACATCACCACGGTGCCTGTGCCAGGCTAGGTGCACTGTGAGGCCACGTCAAGTGTCGAAGGCTCGCCGCTGACAGGACGTCACAGATGCAACCAGTCATCTGGCAGGTCCGCCCACCCATCCGCCCACCCACCCGCCAACTCACACACCCACCCACTCACCCGCCAACTCACCCACCCACCCACTCACCCACCCACTCACTCACCCACTCACTCACTCACCCATCTACTCACTCACCCACCCACTCACTCACCCACCCACCCACCCACTCACCCGCCAACTCACACACCCACCCACCCACTCACCCACTCACTCACCCACTCACTCACTCACCCATCTACTCACTCACCCATCTACTCACTCACCCACCCACTCACTCACCCACCCACCCACCCACTCACCCACCCATCCACCCACCCACTCACCCACCCTCTCACTCACTCACACAGTCATCGGCAAGTCCACTCAGCTCCACGTCCTCCTGTACCACATCACTCCATCTCTTCTCTAGCCCCGTGCCTCCTGTACCACATCACTCCATCTCTTCTCTAGTCCCGTGCCGCGCCCGTTTAGCCCCTTCGATCCGGCCGAACAAAAGCTGTTTCGACATGCGGTGGCTGGGCATGCGGGCTACATGACCCAGCCAACGCAGACCTGCCTGTGGTTTTCACCACCTGATGATGATTGCTTGTGTTGCAATCGAAACATCGTTATATTTTATTGTTTTATTTTTTCATATTATTTTACTCTTTCCCTTCTACGTCACTTTACCGAAATAACCAATAATATGAACCCGCTGGTAGGTTCTAGAAAGGGGGCGTGGGCGTGGCTGTGGGCGTGGCCGTGGCCTTGGGCGTGGCTGTGGGCGTGACCGTGGGCGTGGCCTTGTCCGTGGGCTTGGCCGTGGGCGTGTCTGTGGGCGTGGCTGTGGCCGTGGGCGTCGCCGTGGGCGTGGCCGTGGGCGTGGCCGTGGGCGTAGCCAGGCCACGCTGACAGTACAAAAGAGGGGCCCCCTGTAGGGGACCGCGAGGCTGTCGTGTGGAGTGGGGAGGGGGGAGGGGATCCCTGTCGTGATGCTGCTGGAGCCCTTCTGGTCGTCTACGCCGTCCCGAGGCGTCAGCGGTGACAGGCAGCCGAGCGGCTGTCCTGAGCGGCTGTCCTGACCGGCTGCCCTGAGCGGCTGTCCTGACCGGCTGCCCTGAGCGGCTGTCCTGACCGGCTGTCCTGACCGGCTGTCCTGAGCGGCTGTCCTGACCGGCTGTCCTGACTGGCTGCCCTGACCGGCTGCCCTGACCGGCTGTCCTGACCGGCTGTCCTGAGCGGCTGCCCTGTCACCGAGCGACGTCACCGAACACACACGTGCCGACTTGGTAAAGGCGTCAACCCCGATAGTCCCGCCGACTCTTTTGTGCCTCCAAGTTGGCCACCGACACATTCACACGTGGTCCCAGCCAAACTAAACGCGCGGTAGGCAGGGGGGGGGGGTGTCCACGTGACAGGGAGGGGTGTGGGGGTGTCCACGTGACAGGGAGGAGGGGTGTCCACGTGACAGGGGGTGTGGGGGTATCCACGTGACAGGGAGGGGGGGTGTCCACGTGACAGGGAGGGAGGGGGTGTGGAGGTGTCCACGTGACAGGGGGTGTGGGTGTGTCCACGTGACAGGGTGTGTGGGTGTGTCCACGTGACAGGGAGGGAGGGGTGGGTATGTCCACGTGACAGGGTGTGTGGGTGTGTCCACGTTACAGGGTGTGTGGGTGTGTCCACGTGACAGGGAGGGGGGGTGTCCACGTGACAGGGAGGTGTATCCACGTGACAGGGAGGGTGTGTCCACGTGACAGGGTGGGTGTGTCCACGTGACAGGGTGTGTGGGTGTGTCCACGTGACAGGGAGGGTGTGTCCACGTGACAGGGTGGGTGTGTCCACGTGACAGGGAGGTGTGTCCACGTGACAGGGGGTGTGTCCACGTGACAGGGTGGGTGTGTCCACGTGACAGGGTGGGTGTGTCCACGTGACAGGGGGGGGTGTCCACGAGACAGGGGGGTGTGTCCACGTGACAGGGTGTGTGGGTGTGTCCACGTGACAGGGGGGTGTGTCCACGTGACAGGGGGGTGTGTCCACGTGACGGGGGTGTGTCCACGTGACGGGGGTGTGTCCACGTGACAGGGGGGTGTGTCCACGTGACAGGGGGGTGTGTCCACGTGACAGGGGGGTGTGTCCACGTGACAGGGTGGGTGTGTCCACGTGACAGGGGGGTGTGTCCACGTGACAGGGTGGGTGTGTCCACGTGACAGGGTGTGTGGGTGTGTCCACGTGACAGGGTGGGTGTGTCCACGTGACAGGGGGGTGTGTCCACGTGACAGGGGGGTGTGTCCACGTGACAGGGAGGGAGGGGGTGTGGAGGTGTCCACGTGACAGGGTGGGTGTGTCCACGTGACAGGGGGTGTGTCCACGTGACAGGGGGGTGTGTCCACGTGACAGGGAGGTGTGTCCACGTGACAGGGAGGTGTGTCCACGTGACAGGGTGGGTGTGTCCACGTGACAGGGGGGTGTGTCCACGTGACAGGGGGGTGTGTCCACGTGACAGGGAGGGTGTGTCCACGTGACAGGGGGGTGTGTCCACGTGACAGGGGGGTGTGTCCACGTGACAGGGTGGGTGTGTCCACGTGACAGGGAGGGTGTGTCCACGTGACAGGGGGGTGTGTCCACGTGACATGGGGGTGTGTCCACGTGACAGGGGGGTGTGTCCACGTGACAGGGGGGTGTGTCCACGTGACAGGGTGGGTGTGTCCACGTGACAGGGTGTGTGGGTGTGTCCACGTGACAGGGTGGGTGTGTCCACGTGACAGGGAGGGTGTGTCCACGTGACAGGGGGGTGTGTCCACGTGACAGGGGGGTGTGTCCACATGACAGGGGGGTGTGTCCACGTGACAGGGTGGGTGTGTCCACGTGACAGGGGGGTGTGTCCACGTGACAGGGTGGGTGTGTCCACGTGACAGGGAGGTGTGTCCACGTGACAGGGGGTGTGTCCACGTGACAGGGGGGGTGTGTCCACGTGACAGGGGGTGTGTCCACGTGTCAGGGGGGTGTGTCCACGTGACAGGGTGGGTGTGTCCACGTGACAGGGGGTGTGTCCACGTGTCAGGGGGGTGTGTCCACGTGACAGGGTGGGTGTGTCCACGTGACAGGGGGGTGTGTCCACGTGACAGGGTGTGTGGGTGTGTCCACGTGACAGGGGGGTGTGTCCACGTGACAGGGGGGTGTGGGTGTGTCCACGTGACAGGGTGGGTGTGTCCACGTGACAGGGGGGTGTGTCCACGTGACAGGGTGTGTGGGTGTGTCCACGTGACAGGGGGGTGTGTCCACGTGACAGGGGGGTGTGTCCACGTGACAGGGTGTGTGGGTGTGTCCACGTGACAGGGTGGGTGTGTCCACGTGACAGGGGGGTGTGTCCACGTGACAGGAGGGTGTGTCCACGTGACAGGGTGGGTGTGTCCACGTGACAGGGTGGGTGTGTCCACGTGACAGGGGGGTGTGTCCACGTGACAGGGAGCCCCCATGATCTCCGCGCGAGCAGCCGACAGACCGGGGGGGGGGGGGGTAGGGGGGCGGCTTCGGCACGGCGACGTCACGCCGCCGGTTTTAAAGGAGGATGACCACGTGGCCCCCCCCCGCCCCCCGCGATCAAAGAGCTTCACGGATCATCGGATTCCTCCACCGGCGGTCTCAGACGAGGGCCGAGCGTCCGCGCCTCGCGGCTTTACCGATGACGCTGAAGGCCAGGAAGAAGACGGCGTAGAGGCGGTTCGCGGAGTAGGCGGGGATCATCACTGCAGGGCGCACGTGACACAGCACGTGACACACCACGTGACACACCACGTGACACACCACGTGACACACCACGTGACACACCACGTGACACACCACGTGACACACCACAGCACGTGACACACCACGTGACACACCACAACACGTGACACACCACAACACGTGACACACCACGTGACACACCACAGCACGTGTCACACCACAGCACGTGACACACCACGTGACACACCACAGCACGTGTCACACCACGTGACACACCACAACACGTGACACACCACAGCACGTGACACACCACGTGACACACCACAACACGTGTCACACCACAGCACGTGACACACCACGTGACACACCACAGCACGTGTCACGTGACACACCACAACACGTGACACACCACGTGACACACCACAACACGTGACACACCACGTGACACACCACAACACGTGACACACCACAGCACGTGACACACCACAGCACGTGTCACGTGACACACCACAACACGTGACACACCACGTGACACACCACAGCACGTGACACACCACAACACGTGACACACCACAGCACGTGACACACCACAACACGTGACACACCACAGCACGTTACACACCACAACACGTGTCACGTGACACACCACAACACGTGACACACCACGTGACACACCACGTGACACACCACAACACGTGACACACCACAACACGTGACACACCACAGCACGTGACACACCACAACACGTGACACACCACAGCACGTGACACACCACAACACGTGTCACGTGACACACCACAGCACGTGACACACCACGTGACACACCACGTGACACACCACAACACGTGACACACCACAACACGTGACACACCACAGCACGTGACACACCACAACACGTGACACACCACAGCACGTGACACACCACAACACGTGTCACGTGACACACCACAACACGTGACACACCACGTGACACACCACAGCACGTGTCACGTGACACACCACAGCACGTGACACACCACGTGACACACCACAACACGTGACACACCACAGCACGTGACACACCACGTGACACACCACAACACGTGACACACCACAGCACGTGACACACCACGTGACACACCACAACACGTGACACGTGACACACCACAGCACGTGACACACCACAGCACGTGACACACCACGTGACACACCAAAACACGTGACACACCACAGCACGTGACACACCACAACACGTGACACACCACAACACGTGACACGTGACACACCACAACACGTGACACACCACAACACGTGACACACCACAGCACGTGACACACCACAGCACGTGACACACCACGTGACACACCACAACACGTGACACACCACAGCACGTGACACACCACAACACGTGACACACCACAACACGTGACACGTGACACACCACAACACGTGACACACCACAACACGTGACACACCACAACACGTGACACACCACAGCACGTGATACACCACAGCACGTGACACACCACAACACGTGACACACCACGTGACACACCACAACACGTGACACACCACGTGACACACCACAACACGTGACACACCACAACACGTGACACACCACAACACGTGTCACGTGACACACCACGTGACACACCACAACACGTGACACACCACAACACGTGTCACGTGACACACCACGTGACACACCACAACACGTGACACACCACAGCACGTGACACACCACAGCACGTGACACACCACGTGACACACCACAGCACGTGACACGTGACACACCACAACACGTGACACACCACAGCACGTGACACGTGACACACCACAACACGTGACACACCACAGCACGTGTCACGTGACACACCACAGCACGTGTCACGTGACACACCACAACACGTGACACACCACAACACGTGACACACCACAGCACGTGACACACCACAGCACGTGTCACAACACAGCACGTGTCACGTGACACAACACAGCACGTGTCACGTGACACACCACAACACGTGACACGTGACACACCACAACACGTGACACACCACAACACGTGACACACCACAGCACGTGACACACCACAGCACGTGTCACAACACAGCACGTGTCACGTGACACACCACAACACGTGTCACGTGACACACCACAACACGTGACACGTGACACACCACAACACGTGACACACCACAACACGTGACACACCACAGCACGTGACACACCACAGCACGTGTCACAACACAGCACGTGTCACGTGACACACCACAACACGTGTCACGTGACACACCACAACACGTGACACGTGACACACCACAACACGTGACACACCACAACACGTGACACGTGACACACCACAGCACACCACGGCACGTGACACACCACAGCACGTGACACACCACAACACGTGTCACGTGACACACCACAGCACGTGACACGTGACACACCACAACACGTGACACACCACAACACGTGACACGTGACACACCACAACACGTGTCACGTGACACACCACAACACGTGACACACCACAACACGTGACACGTGACACACCACAACACGTGACACACCACGGCACGTGACACACCACAACACGTGACACACCACAGCACGTGACACGTGACACACCACAGCACGTGACACACCACGACACGTGACACACCACAGCACGTGACACACCACAGCACGTGACACACCACGTGACACACCACAGCACGTGACACACCACAACACGTGACACACCACAGCACGTGACACACCACAACACGTGACACGTGACACACCACAGCACGTGACACACCACAACACGTGTCACGTGACACACCACAACACGTGACACACCACGGCACGTGACACACCACAACACGTGACACGTGACACACCACAGCACGTGACACACCACGTGACACACCACAACACGTGACACACCACGGCACGTGACACACCACAACACGTGTCACGTGACACACCACAGCACGTGACACACCACAACACGTGACACGTGACACACCACAGCACGTGACACACCACAACACGTGTCACGTGACACACCTCGACACGTGACACACCACGACACGTGACACGTGACACACCACAACACGTGTCACGTGACACACCACATCACGTGACACACCACAGCACGTGACACGTGACACACCACAACACGTGACACGTGACACACCACAGCACGTGACACACCACGGCACGTGACACGTGACACACCACAGCACGTGACACACCACAGCACGTGACACGTGACACACCACAGCACGTGACACACCACAGCACGTGACACACCACAACACGTGACACACCACGACACGTGACACACCATGGCACGTGACACACCACGGCACGTGACACACCACAGCACGTGACACACCACAACACGTGACACACCACGGCACGTGACACGTGACACGTGACACACCACAACACGTGTCACACCACGGCACACCACAACACGTGACACACCACGGCACGTGACACACCACAACACGTGTCACACCACGGCACACCACAACACGTGACACACCACGGCACGTGACACGTGACACGTAACACACCACGGCACGTGACACACCGTGCACAGACACAGACGCGGGCAAAGTTCACCGTTAGCCCGGCACGGCCGTGGTGACACCACTGCCGCTTGGTGGTGAATGGCAGGGGTTGGTGATGGTGGTGGTGATGGTGGTGGTGATGGTGGTGGTGATGGTGGTGGTGGTGGTGATGGTGGTGGTGGTGGTGATGGTGATGGTGGTGGTGATGGTGGTGGTCGTGGTGATGGTGATGGTGGTGGTGGTGATGGTGGTGATGGTGGTGATGGTGATGGTGGTGATGGTGGTGATGGTGGTGGTGATGGCGGTGGTGATGGTGGTGGTGATGGTGGTGGTGATGGTGGTGGTGGTGATGGTGGTGGTGATGATGGTGGTGATGGTGGTGATGGTGGTGGTGGTGGTGATGGTGGTGATGGTGGTGGTGGTGATGGTGGTGGCGATGGCGGTGGTGGTGATGGTGATGGTGGTGATGGTGATCGTGGTGGTGATGGTGGTGGTGGTGATGGTGGTGGTGATGGTGATCGTGGTGGTGATGGTGGTGGTGGTTTATGGTGGTGATGGTGATGATGGTGGTGGCGATGGTGGTGGTGGTGGCGATGGTGTTGGTAATGGTGGTGGTGATCATAATGATGGTGATGATAGTGATCATGACGATGGTGATGGTGATCGTGATGATAGTTACACTATATCATGGTCATTATGAAGAGATGATGATGATGATGATGAAACTCATGAAGGGAAGACGACAATGGTGATGAGGAGGACTATGGTGATACACAGACAAAGGTCCCCCGTGTAGCCTCTAACAGGCTGCAGGGGCAAGTGCTATTAGCTAGCACCTCACACACAGACACAGACAAAGATCCCCCGTGTAGCCTCTAACAGGCTGCAGGGGCAAGTGCTATTAGCTAGCACCTCACACACAGACAAAGATCCCCCGTGTAGCCTCTAACAGGCTGCAGGGGCAAGTGCTGTTAAGCTAGCACCTCATATACAGGTGGTTGTGGTGGTGGTGGTTGTGGTGTTTGTGGTGGTGGTTGTGATGAAGGTGGTAGTGGTTGTGGTGGTGGTTGTGGTGGTGGTGGTGTTTGTGATGGTGGTGGTGTTTGTGATGGTGGTTGTGGTGAAGGTGGTGATAGTTGTGGTGGTGGTGGATGTGGTGATGATGGTGGGTGTGGTGGTGAGGGTGGTTGTGGTGGTGAGGGTGGTGGTAGTTGTGGTGAAGGTGGTTGTGGTGATGAGGGTGGTGGTGGTTGTGATGGTGGTGATGTTTGTGGTAATGGTGGTTGTGTTGATGGTGGTTGTGGTGAAGGTGGTGATGGTTATGATGGTGGTTGCGGTGGTTGTGGTGGTGGTTGTGGTGGTGGTTGTGGTGAAGGTGGTGGTGGTTGTGGTGGTGGTGGTGGTGTTGTGGTGGTGGTTGTGGTGAACGTGGTGATGGTGGTGGTGGTGGTGAGGGTGGTGGTGAGGGTGGTGGTAGTTGTGGTGAAGGTGGTGGTAGTTGTGAAGGTGGTTGTGGTGGTGAGGGTGGTGGTGGTTGTGATGGTGGTGATGGTTGTGGTGAAGGTGATGGTTATGATGGTGGTTGTGGTGGTGATGGTGGTTGTGGTGGTTGTGGTGGTTGTGGTGATGGTGGTTGTGGTGGTTGTAGTGGTGATTGTTATGAAGGTGGTTGTGGTGATGGTGGTTGTGGTGGTGGTTGTGGTGGTTGTGGTGGTGGTTGTGGTGGTGGTTGTGGTGAAGGTGGTGGTGGTTATGATGGTGGTTGTGGTGGTTGTGGTGGTGGTTGTGGTGGTGGTTGTGGTGGTGGTGGTTATGAAGGTGGTGGTGGTTGTGGTGGTGGTTGTGGTGGTGGTTGTGGTGAAGGTGGTGGTGGTTATGATGGTGGTTGTGGTGGTTGTGGTGGTGGTTGTGGTGGTTGTGGTGGTGGTTGCGGTGGTGGTGTTTGTGGTGGTGGTTATGGTGAAGGTAGTAGTGTTTGTGGTGGTGGTTGTGGTGAAGGTGGTGATGGTTGTGGTGAAGGTTGTGGTGAAGGTGGTGGTGGTTGTGGTGGTGCTGGTGGTGGTGAGGGTGGTGATGGTTGTGGTGAAGGTGGTGGTGGTTGTGGTGGTGCTGGTGGTGGTGAGGGTGGTGATGGTTGTGGTGAAGGTGGTGGTATTTGTGGTGGTGTTTGTGGTGAAGGTGGTGATGGTTGTGGTGAAGGTGGTGGTGGTTGTGGTGGTGGTGAGGGTGGTGATGGTTGTGGTGAAGGTGGTGGTGTTTGTGGTGGTGGTGGTGAAGGTGGTGATGGTTGTGGTGAAGGTGGTGGTGGTTGTGGTGAAGGTGGTGGTGGTTATTAAGGTGGTTGTGGTGAAGGTGGTGGTGTTTGTGGTGGTGGTGAAGGTGGTGATGGTTGTGAATATGGTGGTGGTTGTGGTGCTGGTGGTGGTTGTGGTGGTTGTGGTGAAGGTGGTGGTGGTTATTAAGGTGGTTGTGGTGAAGGTGGTTGTGGTGGTGCTGGTGGTGGTGAGGGTGGTGATGGTTGTGGTGAAGGTGGTGGTGGTTGTGGTGGTGCTGGTGGTGTTTGTGGTGGTGGTGAAGGTGGTGGTGTTTGTGGTGGTGGTTGTGGTGGTGCTGGTGGTGGTGGTGAGGGAGGCTGCTGACCGTCGGGGTTGTTGGCCGTGGTGAGCAGCACGAGCAGCGAGGTGAGTGACTGAGTGAACGTCTCAAAGTAAAGATCCCACTCGGAGTTAGCGACCTCCACCTGCAACATCACAACCACAACCACAACACCACAACCAACATCAACACAACCACAACACCACCACAACAACCACAACACCACCACCACAGCCACAACATCACCACCACAACACCACCACCACAACCACAACAACACCACAACCAACATCAACACAACCACAACACCACCACCACAACCAACATCAACACAACCACAACAGCACCACAACAACCAACATCAACACAACCACCACAGCCACAACACCACCACAACCAACATCAACACAACCACAACACCACCACAACAACCAACATCAACACAACCACAACACCACCACAACAATCAACACAACCACAACACCACCACAACCACAACCACCACAACCAACATCACAACCAACATCAACACCACCACCACAACCACAACCACCAACATCAACACAACCACCACAACCAACATCAACACAACCACCACAACCACAACACCATCACCACAACCAACATCAACACAACCAACATCAACACAACCACCACCATCACCCTCACCACCACAACCAACATCAACACAACCACCACCATCACCCTCACCACCACAACCAACATCAACACAACCACCACAACCACAACACCACCACAACCAACATCAACACAACCACCACAACACCACCACAACCACCACAACCAACATCAACACAACCACCACAACCACAACACCACCACAACCAACATCAACACAACCACCACAACCACAACACCACCACCACCCTCACCACCACCACAACCACCACAACCACCACACCACCACAACCACCCTCACCACAACCAACACAACCACAACATCACCACCACAACCAACATCAACACAACCACCACAACCACAACACCACCACCACCCTCACCACCACAACCACCACAACCACCACACCACCACCACAACCACCCTCACCACAACCACCACAACCACAACATCACCACCACCACAGCTACAACACCACCACAACCACCACAGCCATCATCACCCTCACCACAACCACCACAACCACAACACCACCACAACCACCATCACCCTCACCACAACCACAACACCACCACAGCCACCATCACCCTCACCACAACCACAACACCACCACAGCCACCATCACCCTCACCACAACCACCGCAACCACAACACCACCACCACCACAACCACCATCAACGCAACCACCACAACCGCCACAACCACCACCACCACCTTCACCACCACCACCCTCACCATCACGACCACCACAGCCACCATCACCACAACCGCCACAAACCACCACCACCACCATCACCACAACCACCACAGCAACCACCACCCTCAGCACAACCAGCACAAACCACCACCACCATGCAGGGAGTTGTAGTGACGAGGTGGAGAGAGACAGAGAGTTGTAGTGACGAGGTGGAGAGGGACAGGGAGGTGTAGTGACGAGGTGGAGAGAGACAGGGAGGTGTAGTGACGAGGTGGAGAGAGACAGGGAGGTGTAGTGACGAGGTGGAGAGAGACAGGGAGGTGTCGTGACGAGGTGGAGAGAGACAGGGAGGTGTAGCGACGAGGTGTTGAGAGAGACAGGGTGATGTAGTGACGAGGTGGAGAGAGACAGGGTGATGTAGTGACGAGGTGGAGAGAGACAGGGAGGTGTCATGACGAGGTGGAGAGAGACAGGGTGTTGTAGTGACGAGGTGGAGAGAGACAGGGAGGTGTAGTGACGAGGTGGAGAGAGACAGGGTGTTGTAGTGACGAGGTGGAGAGAGACAGGGAGTTGTAGTGACGAGGTAGAGAGAGAGAGAGTGATGTAGTGACGAGGTGATGAGGACACTCACCTTGCCCCTCTGGAACAGCAGCATACCCAGCACAGTGAAGAAGTACAAGTGCAATGCCAGTAGCAGCATCACACTGAGACACACAGAGACACAACCACACGGTTCAAACCCCGCGGCCGCCCTGGTTAATACCGCCCTGCGTGTATTACATGAACCGTTATAATGTAGTGTATAGTGTATAGTAGTGTAGTTTATAGTCGTGTAGTGTATAGTAGTGTAGTGTATAGTAGTGTATTGTATAGTAGTGTAGTGTATAGTAGTGTAGTGTATAGTAGTGTAGTGTATAGTAGTGTGGTGTATAGTAGGGTGGTGTATAGTAGTGTAGTGTATAGTAGTGTAGTGTATAGTAGTGTAGTATATAGTGTAGTGTATAGTGGTGTAGTGTATAGTGTAGTGTATAGTAGTGTAGTGTATAGTAGTGTGGTGTATAGTAGGGTGGTGTATAGTAGTGTATAGTAGTGTAGTGTATAGTAGTGTAGTATATAGTGTAGTGTATAGTAGTGTAGTGTATAGTGTAGTGTATAGTAGTGTAGTGTATAGTGTAGTGTGTAGTGTATAGTAGTGTAGTGTATAGGGAATAGTAGTGTAGTATATAGTAGTGTATTGTATAGTGTATAGTAGTGTAGTGTGTAGTGTATAGTAGTGTATAGTAGTGTATAGTGTAGTGTATAGTGTAGTGTATAGTAGTGTAGTGTATAGTAGTGTAGTGTATAGTGTAGTGTATAGTAGTGCAGTGTATAGTAGTGTAGTGTATAGTAGTGTATAGTGTAGTAGTCTATAGTGAATAGCTCGTGAAGGACGCCGCTACTGGGCAGTTGGAGGCAGTCGCCCGCCAACAACAACGGAGGGCGGAGCAGCGACGCTCACAACAACGAGCGGAGCGCCGGGTGGCTAAAGCACAGCAGGTTGGCACAGTAGGGGGCACAGGTGGTGCATCAGCCAGTCATCTCAGTCAGTCGACCCGTGGCACCTGCTGGGTCTGCCCCGTGACCTCCTGCCAGCGGGCGTTCGACACTTCACGTGGCCTCAACGTGCACATAGCCTGGCACAAGCGTCGTGGTGACGTCACTTAGTGCCGAATGGCGGTTGTTGTTGTTGGTAGTTGTTGGTAGTTGCAGCGGTGGTTATGGTTGCTGCGGTGATTGGGGTGGTGGTTGTGTGGTGGTTGTGGTGGTGGTTGTGGTGGTTGTGGTGGTGGTTGTTGTGGTGGTGGTTGTGGTGGTGGTGGTTGTGGTGGTGGTGGTTGTTGTGGTTGTTGTGGTGGTGGTTGTTGTAGCAGTTGTGGTGGTGGTCGTGGTTGTTGTGGTGGTTGTGGTGGTGGTGGTGGTTGTTGTGGTGGTGGTTGTTGTAGCAGTTGTGGTGGTTGTGGTGGTGGTTGTTGTGGTGGTTGTGGTGGTCGTGGTGGTGGTTGTGGTGGTGGTTGTTGTGGTGGTTGTGGTGGTGGTTGTGGGGGTGGTGGTGGTGGTTGTTGTGGTGGTTGTGGTGGTGGTTGTTGTGGTGGTTGTGGTGTTGGTTGCTGTGGTTGTGGTGGTGGTTGTTGTGGTGGTTGTGGTGGTGGTTGCGGTGGTTGTGGGGGTGGTGGTGGTGGCTGTTGTGGTGGTTGTGGTGGTGGTTGTTGTGGTGGTGGTTGTTGTGGTGGTTGTGGTGTTGGTTGCTGTGGTTGTGGTTGTTGTGGTTGTTGTGGTGGTGGTGGTTGTCGTGGTGGTTGTGGTGGTGGTTGTTGTGGTGGTTGTGGTTGTGGTGGTTGTGGTGGTTGTGGTGGTGGTGGTTGTTGTGGTGGTGGTGGTTGTGGTGGTGGTGGTTGTTGTGGTGGTGGTGGTTGTTGCGGTGGTTGTGGTGGTGGTGGTGGTGGTTGTGGTGGTGGTTGTTGTGGTGGTGGTGGTTGTGGTGGTGGTGGTTGTTGTGGTGGTGGTGGTTGTGGTGGTGGTTGTGGTGGTGGTGGTTGCGGTGGTGGTTGTGGTGGTGGTTGTTGTGGTGGTTGTGGTGGTTGTTGTGGTGGTTGTGGTGGTGGTGGTTGTGGTGGTTGTTGTGGTGGTTGTTGTGGTGGTTGTGGTGGTTGTTGTGGTGGTGGTGGTTGTGGTGGTTGTGGTGGTGGTTGTTGTCGTGGTGGTTGTTGTGGTGGTTGTGGTGGTGGTTGTGGTGGTGGTTGTTGCGGTGGTTGTGGTGGTGGTTGTCGTGGTGGTTGTTGTGGTGGTTGTGGTGGTGGTGGTTGTCGTGGTGGTTGTTGTGGTGGTTGTCGTGGTGGTGGTTGTGGTGGTTGTTGTGGTGGTGGTTGATGTGGTTGTTGTGGTGGTGGTGGTTGTGGGTGTGGTGGTTGTGGTGGTTGTGGTGGTTGTGGTGGTGTTGGTGGTGGTGGTGGTTGTGGTGGTTGTAGTGGCGGTGGTTGTCGTGGTGGTTGTTGTGGTGGTTGTGGTGGTTGTTGCGGTGGTTGTGGTGGTGGTTGTCGTGGTGGTTGTTGTGGTGGTGGTGGTTGTTGTGGTGTTGGTTGCGGTGGTTGTGGTGGTGGTTGTTGTGGTGGTTGTGGTGTTGGTTGCGGTGGTTGTGGTGGTTGTTGTGGTGGTGGTGGCTGTTGTGGTGGTGGTTGTGGTGGTGAAGGTTGTTGTGGTGGTTGTGGTGGTGGTTGCGGTGGTGGTTGTTGTTGTGGTGGTGGTTGTTGTTGTGGTGGTGGTGGTTGTGGTGGTGGTTGTCGTGGTGGTTGTTGTGGTGGTGGTGGTTGCGGTGGTTGTGGTGGTGGTGGTTGTGGTGGTTGTGGTGGTGGTTGCGGTGGTTGTGGTGGTTGTGGTGGTGGTTGTGGTGGTGGTGGTGGTTGTCGTGGTGGTTGTTGTGGTGGTTGCGGTGGTTGTGGTGGTGGTCGTGGTTGTTGTGGTGGTGGTGGTGGTTGTGGGTGTGGTGGTTGCGGTGGTTGTGGTGGTGGTGGTTGTGGTGGTTGTCGTGGTTGTGGTGGTGGTAGTGGTTGTTGTGGTGGTTGTGGTGGTTGTGGTGGTGGTTGTTGTGGTTGTTGTGGTGGTGGTGGTGGTTGTGGGTGTGGTGGTTGTGGTGGTTGTGGTGGTGGTTGTTGTTGTGGTGGTGGTTGTGGTGGTGGTTGTGGTGATTGTGGTGGTGGTGGTTGTGGTGGTTGTGGTGGTGGTGGTGGTTGCGGTGGTGGTAGTGCCGTGCCTGGCTATCTGCGGCAGGGTTCGCCGGATGCACTTGAGCGTCTTCTTCATGAGCGACGAGTTTTGCAGCAGGAAGAACGGGCGGAATGCGCGGCGAACTCGCAGCGCCTAGCAGACACGGTGAGACACGCAGAGACACGGTGAGACACGCAGAGACACGGTGAGACACGCAGAGACACGGTGAGACACGCAGAGACACGGTGAGACACGCAGAGACACGGTGAGACACGTAGAGACACGGTGAGACACGGTGAGACACGCAGAGACACGGTGAGACACGCAGAGACACGGTGAGACACGCAGAGACACGGTGAGACACGGTGAGACACGGTGAGACACGGTGAGACACGGTGAGACACGGTGAGACACGCAGAGACACGGTGAGACACGCAGAGACACGGTGAGACACGCAGAGACACGCAGAGACACGCAGAGACACGGTGAGACACGGTGAGACACGCAGAGACACGGTGAGACACGGTGAGACACGCAGAGACACGGTGAGACACGCAGAGACACGGTGAGACACGGTGAGACACGGTGAGACACGCAGAGACACGGTGAGACACGGTGAGACACGGTGAGACACGCAGAGACACGGTGAGACACGGTGAGACACGGTGAGACACGCAGAGACACGGTGAGACACGCAGAGACACGGTGAGACACGCAGAGACACGGTGAGACACGCAGAGACACGGTGAGACACGCAGAGACACGGTGAGACACGGTGAGACATGCAGAGACACGCAGAGACACGGTGAGACACGGTGAGACACGGTGAGACACGCAGAGACACACGGTGAGACACGCGGAGACACGGTGAGACACGCAGAGACACGCAGAGACACGGTGAGACACACGGTGAGACACGGTGAGACACGCAGAGACACGTTGTGGTTGACAGTGTCCGTGTTTGTCCGTGCGGCTCACGTAGACGCAGGTGGTGGCGATGGACGCCGTCCAGTCGAGCAGGGAGAGAGCCAGCACCAGCACGTAGGCCACCAACCACTTGGACTTCCAGAACTCCGTCCAGCCCAGCAGGTGGGCCTGGAACACACGCACAGGGGTCACGGGGTCACCGAGACACGGGGACAGGGAGACAAAGACACGGAGACACGGAGACAGAGACACGGAGACAGAGACACGTGGTCACGGAGACGGAGACAGAGACACGGAGAAAGAGACACAGAGAGAGAGACACGGAGACACGGGGACACGGAGACAGAGACAGAGACATGGAGACGGAGACACGGGGTCATGGAGACGGAGACACGGGGTCACGGAGACACGGGGTCACGGAGACACGGGGTCACGGAGACAGAGACACGGGGTCACGGAGACAGAGACACGGGGTCACGGAGACAGAGACATGGGGTCACGGAGACAGAGATACGGGGTCACGGAGACAGAGATACGGGGTCACGGATACACGGGGTCATGGAGACAGAGACACGGGGTCACGGAGACACGGGGTCATGGAGACACGGGGTCACGGAGACACGGGGTCACGGAGACAGAGACAAGGGGACAGAGACACGGAGACACAGCGAGACACAGCGAGACACAGACACAGATGGAGACACAGAGACACAGCGAGACAAATACAGAGACACAGCGAGACACAAACGGAGACAGTGAGACACAGACAGAGACAGCGAGACACCGACAGAGACACAGAGAGACACAGATGAAGACACAGAGACACAGGCGCAGACACAGAGACACAGACGGAGACACAGAGACACAGCGAGACACAGACAGAGACACAGAGACACAGATGGAGACACACACGGAGATACAGAGACACAGCGAGACACAAAGACACACACAGAGACACAGACGTAGACACAGAGACACAGCGAGGCACAGACGGAGACACAGACAGAGACACAGAGAGACACAGACAGAGACACAGCGAGACATAGATGGAGACACAGAGACACAGCGAGACACAGGCAGAGAAACAGAGACACAGACATAGACACAGAGACACAGCGAGACACAGACAGAGACACAGAGACACAGACGGAGCCACAGAGAGACACAGAGACACAGCGAGACACAGACATAGACACTGAGACACAGACGGAGCCACAGAGAGACACAGACATACAGCGAGACACAGACAGAGACACAGAGAAACACAGAGACACAGAGAGACACACACGTGGACAAGACACACACACACACACGTGGACAAGACACACACACACACATGGACAAGACACACACACACGTGGACAAGACACACACACACGTGGACAAGACACACACACACACGTGGACAAGACACACACACACGTGGACAAGACACACACACACACGTGGACAAGACACACACACACGTGGACAAGACACACACACATGTAGACAAGACACACACACGTGTGGACAAGACACTCACACACACACACACACGTGGACAAGACACACACACACACATATACACACGTAGACAAGACACACACACACACATACACACACACGTAGACAAGACACACACACATACACACACACACGTAGACAAGACACACACATACACACACACACGTAGACAAGAGATACACACACACACACACGTGTGGACAAGACACACACACACACACGTGGACAAGACACACACATACACACACGTAGACAAGACACACACACACACATACACACAACACAAACACACACATACACACACACGTAGACAAGACACACACACACATACAACAACAACAACAACCGCCATTCGCCACTAAGTGGCGGTGACGTCACCACGACGCTTGTGCCAGGCTATGTGCACCGTGAGGCCACGTGAAGTGTCGAACGCCCGCTGGCAGGAGGTCACTGGGCAGACCCAGGTGCCACGGGTCGACTGACTGAGATGACTGGCTGATGCACCACCTGTGCCCCCTACTGTGCCAACCTGCTGTGCTTTAGCCACCCGGCGTTCCGCTCGTTGTTGTGAGCGTCGCTCCTCCGCCCTCCGTTGTTGTTGGAGGGCGACTGCCTCCAACTGCCCAGTAGCATCCTTCACGAGCCTCCTCCACAGAGGCCGATCTTGACACCGCTGGTACCAGTCATCGGCAAGTCCACTCAGCTCCACGTCCTCCTGTACCACATCACTCCATCTCTTCTCTAGCCCGTGCCGCGCCCGCTTAGCCCCCTCAATCCGGCCAAACAAAAGCTGTTTCGGCATGCGGTGGCTGGGCATGCGGGCTACATGACCCAGCCATCGCAGCCTTGCCTGCCGGAGCTCACCGATAGAACCCTGCCCAGATCTTTTAAGGATTTGTGAGCTCCTCACACAATCCAGTCTGGTTAAACCCAGGATGGATCGTAGGCAGGCCAGCCTAAATGTTTCTAACCGGCGAAGATGTTCCATTAGGGGGGTCCACGTTTCGCAAGCGTAGAGAAGGGAGGGAATGACCGTGGCCGAGAAGACCTGAAGCTTATTGCGGAGCGACAGACCAGGTAGCTTCCACACAGCGTTACGCAACCGATGAAAAGATATTGCCGCTCGACTGATTCGGAGTGAGACCTCTGCTGTTAAACTGGAGCCAGTCATAAGCACACTGCCCAGGTATGGGAAACTCTCCACTCTCTCCACAACTGCCCCATCACCGATTGGGAGTTGTGGGGGTGGAGTGTCTGATGGTACAAAATACCCAGGCAGGTGCTTAGTTTTGGTGGGGCTGATGGTAAGGCCCCACCTCTTAGTGGCACGCTCCAGTCTCAGCAGCAGCGTCTCCAACTCCTCCTCTGACTGAGCAGCTATTACCAAATCATCAGCATACATAACGTGGTTGAGCAATAGGGAGCCATCCCTTGACCGCACCCGGGCATCGATTAGCCTCCCATTATATCTGTACCATATGGAGATTCCCCCGGTACAGCTATTGAAGGCTTCACGAACTACGTGGTCAAAATAGATGTTAAATAATGTGGGAGCCAGAGGACATCCCTGTCGCACCCCAAGGTGTACAGGGAATGGCTCTGACTCCCGGCCACGTAGTTTTACCCGGGCCCGCTCACCATCATGAAGGTCCTTAATGATCGTGAGCAGAGGGTCAGGTACTCCAAAAGCACGAAGAACGACCAAGAGCCCAGGCCTACTGATGGTATCATAGGCCTTGACCAGGTCAATAAAGCAGAGATGTAGGTCTTGTTGGAATTCCCTACACCTCTGCTGTAGCAGACGGACAGAAAATATGGCATCTGTGCAGGACCGCCCTTTCCTGAAACCGCATTGGGGCTCCGCAAGCCTCTCCTCAGCGTGCCTGGCAAGGCGATGCTGAATAATCCTTGCCAGGACCTTTCCCGGCACACTGAGGAGTGAGATGCCCCTGTAGTTGTTACAGTCTGTGCGGTCCCCCTTCTTAAAAAGGGGGACCACCAGGGCATCCTTCCAATCCTGCGGAACCCGTCCGGTGGTCCAGACTGTTGTTATGATGTCATATAGGGCAGTCTGTGCACAAACGCCACCCTCCCTCAGCATTTCGCTTGGGAGATCATCTCTGCCCGCCGCCTTTCCTGGTCTCAGACTCCGGATCGCCTTCAATACTTCCTCAGCAGATGGCACCTCAGCCAGCCACTCATAGGGGGTGACTTCTTCCAATATTTGAGGCACCGCAGCCTCAGCAGGGTCATCCTCACTTTGTGCCACGATGTTTTCCTGGCTGAGGGATTTTCCCTCCCCCAGGACCTCACAGAAATGCTCAGCAAATCTGCGAACCTGTTCCTGAGGGTCGGAGATTGGATCACCGTTTTTTCCCCTAATGATGGAAATAGGTGTGGCGCTGCAGGTTACTTTTTTGATGGAGTTAAATAGAGATTTGTGATCACGGGCCACTGAGGCAGACTCCATCTTCTCAGCAACCCGCGACCACCACCCATCCTTGCAGCGCCTCACGGCTCTCCGAACCTCCGAGCGAAGGCTGCCGTAAGCCTCCTCATTCTCTGACGTGGGATTCTGTAGCCGATGACAGTGGGCCTGTCGCTTTTTCCCAACCATCCTGAACACCTCCTCTGTCAGCCAGGGTCTCTGGGGAGGTCTGGACCGCGTACCCAAAGCAGCCATTGCAGCTGCATGAGTCACAGTCCTAAACCTCGCCCATTTACCCTCGACATCAGGAGGAGTCGGGGACGATGCCAATCCCAGCCGCAAGCGATGATGAAATTCTCGCTTGCAACTTTCATCAGATAACTGAGACCAGGCCACTTTATGTTGGAATGGGGTCCTGGGTGTACACCCACCACCGGAGTGGAAGAATGGCAGGCGCATCTTACAGATGACTAGTCGATGGTCAGAGGGCAGATCAGCTCCACGGTAGGTCCTGGTGTCAAGGACATGGGCTCGCATTAGCTGGTTCATCACTATGTAGTCCAGCAGATGTTCTTGCTTGGACCCGGCATGCATCCATGATGTTGTGTGGATGCGCCGATGCCAGAACAGCGTGTTGGTAATTACAAGCCCATGGGCTGCACAAAAATCTAGCAGCCTCCTACCGTTGTTATTGAGGTGATCTGGCCCATGCCCTCCAATCACTCCAGACCAGGTGCCAGTATCCTGACCAATTCGGGCATTCAAGTCACCCAACATGATGACTCTATCCCGAGGGGCCACTTTAGCCAGCACCTGTGACAGGAGGTCATAGAAGGCATCTGACTCATCGGCTTTGCCTGAATCCCTCCACGGATGTTCATCTTCGGTGGGGGCATAAGTAACCATGACCACCATTCCTCGCCTCCGGTTGATGGGAAGGCGAGCCCAAAGTAGCCTGGGGCTTACAGCTTCCCACACCTCACCGCCACGCTCCCACGCCCCCTTCATTCTTTTGTTCAAAAGAAGACCCACACCCTGTTGTTTGGCAGTCTGCTGCCCCGAGTAGAAGACTGTCCACCCCTCATGGTGGCAGGAGCCAGAGCCGGTCCACCGGACCTCCTGAATGCCGCATAGATCCAGGCGGTACCGGTCCAGCTCCCAACAGAGGAGTGGCAGCCTCTCCTCTGCAGTGAGCGTTCGAACATTCCACGTGGCCACCCGTAGTGGCTTTTCGTTGTTTCTGGAGTAGCCCCGAGGGTAGGTATTCAATCTCCTGGCTCCGCCAATTGGGGTTTGGCCAGGAGACGTCATAGACGCCTGGCCCCCCGGGGCCTCCGGCACAAGCTTATTAGTTACATATTTCAGTTTAATTCGTGGTTTCGTGGTAATTAATTGAAGGTGGAGGGGTTACCAGCCCCTCGCACACGCATACACACACACACATACACACACACGTAGACAAGACACACATACACACACACATACACACACACACGTAGACAAGACACACATACACACACACATACACACACATACACATACACAACAACCGCCATTCGCCACTAAGTGGCGGTGACGTCACCACGACGCTTGTGCCAGGCTATGTGCACCCTGAGGCCACGTGAAGTGTCGAACGCCCGCTGGCTGGAGGTCACGGGGCAGACCCAGGTGCCACGGGTCGACTGACTGAGATGACTGGCTGATGCACCACCTGTGCCCCCTACTGTGCCAACCTGCTGTGCTTTAGCCACCCGGCGCTCCGCTCGTTGTTCTGAGCGTCGCTCCTCCGTCCTCCGTTGTTGTTGGAGGGCGACTGCCTCCAACTGCCCAGTAGCATCCTTCACGAGCCTCCTCCACAGAGGCCGATCTTGACACCGCTGGTACCAGTCATCGGCAAGTCCACTCAGCTCCACGTCCTCCTGTACCACATCACTCCATCTCTTCTCTAGCCCGTGCCGCGCCCGCTTAGCCCCCTCAATCCGGCCAAACAAAAGCTGTTTCGGCATGCGGTGACTGGGCATGCGGGCTACATGACCCAGCCATCGCAGCCTTGCCTGCCGGAGGAGCTCACCGATGGGACCCTGCCCAGATCTTTCAAGGATTTGTGAGCTCCTCACACAATCCAGTCTGGTTAAACCCAGGATGGATCGTAGGCAGGCCAGCCTAAATGTTTCTAACCGGCGAAGATGTTCTATTAGGGGGGTCCACGTTTCGCAAGCGTAGAGAAGGGAGGGAATGACCGTGGCCGAGAAGACCTGAAGCTTAGTGCGGAGCGACAGACCAGGTAGCTTCCACACAGCGTTACGCAACCGATGAAAAGATATTGCCGCTCGACTGATTCGGAGTGAGACCTCTGCTGTTAAACTGGAGCCAGTCATAAGCACACTGCCCAGGTATGGGAAACTCTCCACTCTCTCCACAACTGCCCCATCACCGATTGGGAGTTGTGGGGGTGGAGTGTCCGATGGTACAAAATACCCAGGCAGGTGCTTAGTTTTGGTGGGGCTGATGGTAAGGCCCCACCTCTTAGTGGCACGCTCCAGTCTCAGCAGCAGCGTCTCCAACTCCTCCTCTGACTGAGCAGCTATTACCAAATCATCAGCATACATAACGTGGTTGAGCAATAGGGAGCCATCCCTTGACCGCACCCGGGCATCGATTAGCCTCCCATTATATCTGTACCATATGGAGATTCCCCCGGTACAGCTATTGAAGGCTTCACGAACTACGTGGTCAAAATAGATGTTAATAATGTTGGAGCCAGAGGACATCCCTGTCGCACCCCAAGGTGTACAGGGAATGGCTCTGACTCCCGGCCACGTAGTTTTACCCGGGCCTGCTCACCATCATGAAGGTCCTTAATGATCGTGAGCAGAGGGTCAGGTACTCCAAAAGCACGAAGAACGACCCAGAGCCCAGGCCTACTGATGGTATCATAGGCCTTGACCAGGTCAATAAAGCAGAGATGTAGGTCTTTTGGAATTCCCTACACCTCTGCTGTAGCAGACGGACAGAAAAAATGGCATCTGTGCAGGACCGCCCTTTCCTGAAACCGCATTGGGGCTCCGCAAGCCTCTCCTCAGCGTGCCTGGCAAGGTGATGCTGAATAATCCTTGCCAGGACCTTTCCCGGCACACTGAGGAGTGAGATGCCCCTGTAGTTGTTACAGTCTGTGCGGTCCCCCTTCTTAAAAAGGGGGACCACCAGGGCATCCTTCCAATCCTGCGGAACCCGTCCAGTGGCCCAGACTGTTGTTATGATGTCATATAGGGCAGTCTGTGCACAAACGCCACCCTCCCTCAGCATTTCGCTTGGGAGATCATCTCTGCCCGCTGCCTTTCCTGGTCTCAGACTCCGGATCGCCTTCAATACTTCCTCAGCAGATGGCACCTCAGCCAGCCACTCACAGGGGGTGACTTCCACCAATATTTGAGGCACCGCAGCCTCAGCAGGGTCATCCTCACCTTGTGCCACAATGTTTTCCTGGCTGTGGGATTTTCCCTCCCCCAGGACCTCACAGAAATGCTCAGCAAATCTGCGAACCTGTTCCTGGGGGTCGGAGATTGGATCACCGTTTTTTCCCCTAATGATGGAAATAGGTGTGGCGCTGCAGGTTACTTTTTGATGGAGTTAAATAGAGATTTGTGATCACGGGCCACGAAGGCAGACTCCATCTCTTCAGCAACCCGTGACCACCACCCATCCTTGCAGCGCCTCACGGCTCTCCGAACCTCCGAGCGAAGGCTGCGGTAAGCCTCCTCATTCTCTGACGTGGGATTCTGTAGCCGATGACAGTGGGCCTGTCGCTTTTTCTCAACCATCCTGAACACCTCCTCTGTCAGCCAGGGTCTCTGGGGAGGTCTGGACCGCGTACCCAAAGCAGCCATTGCAGCTGCATGAGTCACAGTCCTAAACCTCGCCCATTTACCCTCGACATCAGGAGGAGTCGGGGACGATGCCAATCCCAGCCGCAAGCGATGATGAAATTCTCGCTTGCAACTTTCATCAGATAACTGAGACCAGGCCACTTTATGTTGGAATGGGGTCCTGGGTGTACACCCACCACCGGAGTGGAAGAATGGCAGGCGCATCTTACAGATGACTAGTCGATGGTCAGAGGGCAGATCAGCTCCACGGTAGGTCCTGGTGTCAAGGACATGGGCTCGCATTAGCTGGTTCATCACTATGTAGTCCAGCAGATGTTCTTGCTTGGACCCGGCATGCATCCATGATGTTGTGTGGATGCGCCGATGCCAGAACAGCGTGTTGGTAATTACAAGCCCATGGGCTGCACAAAAATCTAGCAGCCTCCTACCGTTGTTATTGAGGTGATCTGGCCCATGCCCTCCAATCACTCCAGACCAGGTGCCAGTATCCTGACCAATTCGGGCATTCAAGTCACCCAACATGATGACTCTATCCCGAGGGGCCACTTTAGCCAGCACCTGTGACAGGAGGTCATAGAAGGCATCTGACTCATCGGCTTTGCCTGCATCCCTCCACGGATGTTCATCTTCGGTGGGGGCATAAGTAACCACGACCACCATTCCTCGCCTCCGGTTAATGGGAAGGCGAGCCCAAAGTAGCCTGGGGCTTACAGCTTCCCACACCTCACTGCCACGCTCCCACGCCCCCTTCATTCTTTTGTTCAAATGAAGACCCACACCCTGTTGTTTGGCAGTCTGCTGCCCCGAGTAGAGGACTGTCCACCCCTCATGGTGGCAGGAGCCAGAGCCGGTCCACCGGACCTCCTGAATGCCGCATAGATCCAGGCGGTACCGGTCCAGCTCCCGACAAAGGAGTGGCAGCCTCTCCTCTGCAGTGAGCGTTCGAACATTCCACGTGGCCACCCGTAGTGGCTTTTCGTTGTTTCTGGAGTAGCCCCGAGGGTAGGTATTCAATCTCCTGGCTCCGCCAATTGGGGTTTGGCCAGGAGACGTCATAGACGCCTGGCCCCCCGGGGCCTCCGGCACAAGCTTATTTGTTACATATTTCAGTTTAACTCGTGCTTTCGTGGTAATTAATTGAAGGTGGAGGGGTTACCAGCCCCTCGCACCCGTCCAGAGCCCTCGTTTAGCCACTGTGGTGGTCACATATGTCATGAGGGGAGGAGCCAATCAAAATTGGATCTCCCCCCACAGCACTGTCCACGACAGAGTTGCCCGTCCGGCACCGCGGCACATACACACACACATACACACATACACACACACACGCGTGGACACCTTGATGGACACGTCCATGGCCAGGACAAGCAGCGCGGTGAGCTCCACCGACTCAGTGACACCGCACGGCGGGTCGGGCCGCCGGCCTCCACCGCCTCCACCGCCTCCGCCGGCACCGCCGCTCCACCGCACGTCGGCCGAGCGCGTCAGGGAGGAAGGGCGCTCCACAAAGGCGAGGGCCAGCAGCAGCAGGATGGTGATGGTCAGGAAGCTGGGGGGGAGGGTGGGGGGGAGGGTGGGGGGGAGAGTGGGGGGAGAGTGGGGGGAGAGTGGGGCGAGAGTGGGGGGAGAGTGGGGCGAGAGTGGGGGGAGAGTGTGGGGAGGGTGGAGGGAGGGTGGGGGGAGGGTCCGGGGAGGGTCCGGGGAGGGTCCGGGGAGGGTGGGGGGAGGGTGGGGGGAGGGTGGGGGGAGGGTGGGGGGAGGGTGCGGGGAGGGTGGGGGGAGGGTGGGGGGAGGGTGGGGGGGGGGGGGGGGGGGGGGGGGGGGGGGGTGTGGGGAGAGTGGGGGGAGGGTGTGGGGAGAGTGGGGAGGGTGGGGGGAAGGGTGGGGGGAGAGTGTGGGGAGGGTGGGGAGAGTGTGGGGAGGGTGGGGGGAAGGGTGGGGGGACGTGGTGAGTGGGGGGTTGGCGTCACGATGAGCGATGCCGTTGGGCCTGGCCCTCGCGGCCGAGTGTCGTGAGGTGAGGAGGTGGGGTGAGGAGGTGGGGTGAGGAGGTGGGGTGAGGAGGTGGGGTGAGGAGGTGGGGTGAGGAGGTGGGGTGAGGAGTCCGGGGTGAGGAGGTGGGGTGAGGAGGTGGGGTGAGGAGGTGGGGTGAGGAGGTGGGGGTGAGGAGGTGGGGTGAGGAGGTGGGGTGAGGAGGTGGGGTGAGGAGGTGGCGCTCACCACTGGAAGGGCACCGAGTAGTAAAAGCGGTAGAGACGCAGCGAGATCACGTCCATGCGGTGGTAGATGGAGCGGTACTGTACAAAGACAAAGACAAAGATCCCCCATATAGCCTTAACAGACTGTAGGGGCAAGTGCTGTTAGTACTGTACACACACACACACACAGACACACAGACAAAGGTCCCCCGTGTAGCCTCGTCAGACTGTTGGGGGCAAGTGCTGTTAGTACTGTACACACACACACAGACACACAGACAAAGGTCCCCCGTGTAGCCTCGTCAGACTGTTGGGGGCAAGTGCTGTTAGTACTGTACACACACACACACACACAGACACACAGACAAAGGTCCCCCGTGTAGCCTCGTCAGACTGTTGGGGGCAAGTGCCGCTAGCGGCGACGCCGGGCCACCTCCGCCTCGCCCCCCCCCCCTCCCTGGGGCAATGTCGACCACGTTTGAGGCCGAGTCGACCTAGGGGAGGAGGCCCAGGGCCGGGCGTTGGCCGCGAGCGGCGGGGAGCGTGCGAGGGGGGAGCGCTCGATCCCCGTCACGGACGGGGGGGGGGGGCAGACCGGGAGGGGGGGGGGGCGAGTTCCCCGCTGGTGGAGGCGGGGCTGCGGATCCTCCTTGGCACCCGCCCACGTAGCCCACACGCAACCATCATGTAACCATCATGTAACCATCATATAACCATCACGTAACCATCATGTAACCCACATGTAACCCACACGTAACCCACACGTAACCCACACGCAACCATCATGTACCCATCATGTAACCATCATGTAACACACACGCAACCCACACGTAACCCACACGCAACCATCATGTAACCCACACGCAACCATCTTGTAACCATCATGTACCCATCATGTAACCCACACGTAACCCACACGTAACCCACACGCAACCATCATGTAACCATCATGTAACCCACACGTAACCCACACGCAACCATCATGTAACCATCATGTAACCATCATGTAACCCACACATAACCCACACGCAACCCAGATGCAACCATCATGTAACCCACACGTAACCCACACGCAACCATCATGTAACACACACGCAACCCACACGCAACCATCATGTAACACACACGCAACCCACACGCAACCCACACGCAACCATCATGTAACCCACACGTAACCATCATGTGACCCACAAGTAACCCACATGTAACCCACACGTAACCCACACGCAACCATCATGTAACCATCATGTACCCATCATGTAACCCACACGTAACCATCATGTGACCCACAAGTAACCCACATGTAACCCACACGTAACCCACACGCAACCATCATGTAACCATCATGTACCCATCATGTAACCCACACGTAACCCACACGTAACCATCATGTAACCATCATGTAACCCACACGTAACCCACACGTAACCCACACGCAACCATCATGTAACCATCATGTACCCATCACGTAACCCACACGCAACCCACATGCAACCATCATGTAACACACACGTAGCCCACACGTAGCCCACACGCAACCATCATGTAACACACACGTAGCCCACACGTAGCCCACACGCAACCATCATGTAACACACACGTAGCCCACACGTAACCTACACGCAACCATCATGTAACACACACGTAACCCACACGCAACCCACACGCAACCCACACGCAACCATCTTGTAACACACACGTAGCCCACATGTAACCTACACGCAACCATCATGTAACACACACGTAGCCCACACGTAACCTACACGCAACCATCATGTAACCCACACGTAACCCACACGTAACCCACACGTAGCCCACATGCAACCCACACGCAACCGTCACCTTAATGGCGTCTTCGATGAACACGACGGCCTGCTGGATGTACAGCTCCTCTGCTCACACACAGACACAGACACAGACAAAGGTCCCCCGTGCAGCCTCTAGCATACCACTGGGGCAAGTGCGGTTAGGAGTAGCGAGTAGCAGCAGTGCCTATACCGCTGCTTGTTGCTGTTGTTGTTTGCGTGTCCGTTCGCTGTCTTTCCCCCGCACCTCCGATTAGCCGCGGTTGGACTACAACAACCGCCGTTCGCCACTAAGTGGCGGTGACGTCACCACGACGCTTGTGCCAGGCTATGTGCACCTTGAGGCCACCACGTGAAGTGTCGAACGCCCGCTGGCAGGAGGTCACGGGGCAGACCCAGCAGGTGCCACGGGTCGACTGACTGAGATGACTGGCTGATGCACCACCTGTGCCCCCTACTGTGCCAACCTGCTGCGCTTTAGCCACCCGGCGCTCCGCTCGTTGTTGTGAGCGTCGCTCCTCCGCCCTCCGTTGTTGTTGTTGGAGGGCAACTGCCTCCAACTGCCCAGTAGCAGCGTCCTTCACGAGCCTCCTATACAGAGGCCGATCTTGACACCGCTGGTACCAGTCATCGGCAAGTCCACTCAGCTCCACGTCCTCCAGTACCACATCACTCCATCTCTTCTCTAGCCCGTGCCGCGCCCGTTTAGCCCCCACGATCGGGCCGAACAAAAGCTGTTTTGGCATGCTGTGGCTGGGCATGCGGGCTACATGACCCAGCCAACGCAGCCTTGCCTGCCAGAGGAGCTCACCGATGGGACCTTGCCCAGATCTTTCAAGGATTTGTGAGCTCCTCACACAATCCAGTCTGGTTAAACCCAGGATGGATCGTAGGCAGGCTAGCCTAAATGTTTCTAACCGGCAAAGATGTTCCATTAGGGGGGTCCACGTTTCGCAAGCGTAGAGAAGGGAGGGAATGACCGTGGCCGAGAAGGCCTGAAGCTTAGTGCGGAGCGACAGACCAGGTAGCTTCCACACAGCGTTACGCAACCGATGAAAAGATATTGCCGCTCGACTGATTTAGAGTGAGATCTCTGCTGTTAAACTGGAGCCGGTCATAAGCACACTGCCCAGGTATGGGAAACTCTCCACTCTCTCCACAACTGCCCCATCACTGATTGGGAGTTGTGGGGGTGGAGTGGCCAATGGTACAAAATACCCAGGCAGGTGCTCAGTTTTGGTGTGGCTGATTTTAAGGCCCCATCTCTTAGTGGCACGCTGCAGTCTCAGCAGTAGTATCTCCAACTCCTCCTCTGAATGAGCAGCTATTACCAAATCATCAGCATACATAACGTGGTTGAGCAATAGGGAGCCATTCCTTGACAGCCTCCCATAATATCTGTACCAAATGGAGATTCCCCCGGTACAGCTATTGAAGGCTTCACGAACTACGTGGTCAAAATAGATGTTAAATAATGTGAGAGCCAGAGGACATCCCTGTCGCAACCCAAGGTGTACAGGGAATGGCTCTGACTCCTGGCCACGTAGTTTTACCCGGGCCCGCTCACCATCATGAAGGTCCTTAATGATCGTGAGCAGAGGGTCAGGGACTCCAAAAGTACGAAGAACAACCCAGAGCCCAGGCCTACTGATGGTATCATAGGCCTTGACGAGGTCAATAAAGCAGAGATGTAGGTCTTGCTGGAATTCCCTACACCTCTGCTGTAGCAGACGGACAGAAAATATGGCATCTGTGCAGGACCGCCTTTTCCTGAAACCGCATGGGGCTCCGCAAGCCTCTCCTCAGCGTGCCTGGCAAGGCGATGTTGAATAATCCTTGCCAAGACCTTTCCCGGCACACTGAGGAGTGAGATGCCCCTGTAGTTGTTACAATCTGTGCGGTCCCCCTTTTTAAAGAGGGGGACCAGCAGGGCATCCTTCCAATCCTGCGGAACCCATCCAGTGGTCCAGACTGTTGTTATGATGTCATATAGGGCAGTCTGTGTACAAACGCCAACCTCCCTCAGCATTTTGCTTGGGAGATGATCTCTGCCCGGTGCCTTTCCTGGTCTCAGACTCCGGATCGCCTTCAGTACTTCCTCAACAGATGGCACCTCAGCCAGCCACTCACAGGGGGTGACTTCCTCCAATATTTGAGGCACCGCAGCCTCAGCAGGGTCATCCCCACTTTGTGCACGATGTTTTCCTGGGGGAGGGATTTCCCCTCCCCCAGGACCTCACAGAAATGGTCAGCAAATCTGCAAACCTGTTCCTGGGGGTCGGAGATTGGATCACCGTTGTTTCCCCTAATGATGGTAATAAGTGTGGTGCTGCAGGTTACTTTTTTGATGGAGTTAAATAGAGATTCGTGATGGCGGGCCACTGAGGCAGACTCCATCTCCTCAGCAACCCGCGACCACCACCCATCCTTGCAGCGCCTCACGGCTCTCCGAACCTCCGAGCGAAGGCTGCGGTAAGCCTCCTCATTCTCTGACGTGGGATTCTGTAGCCGATGACAGTGGGCCTGTCGCTTTTTCTCAACCATCCTGAACACCTCCTCTGTCAGCCAGTGTCTCTGGGGACGTCTGGACCACGTACCCAAAGCGGCCATTGCAGCTGCATGAGTCACAGTCCTAAACCTCGCCCATTTACCCTCGACATCAGGAGGAGTGGGGGACGATGGCAACCCCAGCCGCAAGCCATGATGAAATTCTCGCTTGCAACTTTCATCAGATAACTGAGACCAGGCCACTTTAGGTTGGAATGGGGTCCTGGGTGTACACCCACCACCGGAGTGGAAGAATGGCAGGCGCATCTTACAGATGACTAGTCGATGGTCAGAGGGCAGATCAGCTCCACGGTAGGTCCTGGTGTCAAGGACATGGGCTCGCATCCGCTGGTCCGTCACTATGTAGTCCAGCAGATGTTCTTGCTTGCATCCATGATGTTGTGTAGATGCGCCGATGCCGGAACAGCGTGTTGGTAATTACAAGCCCATGGGCTGCACAAAAATCTAGCAGCCTCCTACCGTTGTTATTGAGCTGATCTGGCCCATGCCCTCCAATCACTCCAGACCAGGTGCCAGTATCATGACCAACTCGGGCATTGAAGTCACCCAACATGATGACTCTATCCCGAGGGGCCACTTTAGCCAGCACCTGTGACAGGAGGTCATAGAAGGCATCTGACTCATCGGCTTTGCCTGCATCCCTCCACGGATGTTCATCTTCGGTGGGGGCATATGTAACCACGACCACCATTCCTCGCCTCCGGTTGATGGGAAGGCGAGCCCAAAGTAGCCTGGGGCTTACAGCTTCCCACACCTCACCGCCACGCTCCCACGCCCCCTTCATTCTTTTGTTCAAAAGAAGACCCACACCCTGTTGTTTGGCAGTCTGCTGCCCCGAGTAGAGGACTGTCCACCCCTCATGGTGGCAGGAGCCAGAGCCGGTCCACCGGACCTCCTGAATGCCGCATAAATCCAAGCGGTACCGGTCCAGCTCCCGACAGAGGAGTGGCAGCCTCTCCTCTGCAGTGAGCGTTCGAACATTCCACGTGGCCACCCGTAGTGGCTTTTCGTTGTTTCTGGAGTAGCCCCGAGGGTAGGTATTCAATCTCCTGGCTCCGCCAATTGGGGTTTGGCCAGGAGACGTCATAGACGCCTGGCCCCCCGGGGCCTCCGGCACAAGCTTATTAGTTATATATTTCAGTTTAATTCGTGGTTTCGTGGTAATTAACGCGTACACACACACGTACACACACACACACGTACACACACACACGTACACACACACACGTACACACACGTACACACACACACACGTACACACACACACGTACACACACGTACACACACGTACACACACGTACACACACACACACGTACACACACACACGTACACACACACACGTACACACACACACGTACACACACACACGTACACACACACACGTACACACAAACACGTACACACACACACGTACACACACACACGTACACACACACACACGTACACACGCACACGTACACACATGTACACACACACACACACGTACACACACACTCGTACACACACACCACGTACACACACACTCGTACACACACACACGTACACACACACACACGTACACACACACACGTACACACACACACACGTACACACACACACGTACACACACACACACACGTACACACACAACTACGACGCCTGTGACCGTGCCCCCCCCTACCCCGCCTCCCCGCCTCCCCGCCTCCCCCGTCCAGGATCCCACCGTTGGCCGTCGCCGGTGTCCCACTGTCGGAGGAGCTGCTGCGGCGACGCTGGGCCTCCCCGCGGCCATCCCACGGCATCTCCTCCCACGGCGTCCCAGCGTCGTCCACCGCCACGGCAGCATCGTCCGCCGCCGCCACCGCCGCCGCCGCCGCCACCGCGCCCCCCACTGCTGCCGCGGTCGTCCGAGACTCCACGCTCGGCGCGTCTTCGCCGCCGAGCAGCGGAGAGCGTTCCATGGCGGGAGGCGGGAGAAGGGCGGGGAACGCCGGGATGGGATCGCGACCGCGTAGGGGGAACGGTCAAGGGGGAACGCCGGGATGGGGACTGGTTCTGGGGTCGCGGGAAATATGGGATGAGCAGGAGCCCTTGAGGGTTAATGGGAATTTGGGATGAATCGGATTCCAGGTTAATGGGAATGTGGGATATTTGAATTGTAGGATAATGGGAATTCAGGAGAATGGGATTCAAGGATAATGGGGATTCCAGACAATAGGAATGTGTGATACCCGTATTCCGGGATAATTAATTCAGATAAAATGGGAATGTGGAAATAATGGGATTATGGGATAATGGGATTGTGGGATAACGGGATGTGAGAGACCTTGGGATGCTGTTGAAATGAAATGTGGGACAATGGACGATGTAGAATTCCAGGATAATGGAATTTTGGGAAAATGCGGACATGGGAAGTAACCACAGCAGGCAGCCCAGATAGTGATCACCTGCAGAGATACACAAAGACAAAGGTCACCCGTATAGCCTCAGCACACTGTTAGGGAATGTGCTTTTAGCAGCAACTATGTCTCCCTAACCGCACCAGGTACTCATTTAAGGCTGAGTTGACCTAGGGGAGGCGCACACGTGTACACGCGCTCACATACACACATGCACACACTCACATGTACACACACATCAACAACAACCGCCATTCGCCACGGCGCCTGTGCCAGGCCATGTGCACGTTGAGGCCACGTGAAGTGTCGAACGCCCGCTGGCAGGAGGTCACGGGGCAGACCCAAGTGCCACGGGTCGACTGACTGAGATGACTGAGATGACTGGCTGATGCACCACCTGTGCCCCCTACTGTGCCAACTTTCTGTGCTTTAGCCACCCTGCGCTCCGCTCGTTGTTGTGAGCGTCGCTCCTCTGCTGCCGGAGGGCGACTGCCTCCAACTGCTCAGTAGCGGCGTCCTTCACGAGCCTCATCCATCAGAGGCCGATCTTGACACCGCTGGTACCGGTCATCGGCAAGTCCACTCAGCTCCACGTCCTCCTGTACCACATCACTCCATCTCTTCTCTAGCCCGTGCCATGCCCATTTAGCCCCCTCTATTCAGCTGAACTAAACCGTGCCCATTTAGCCCCCTCTATTCAGCTGAACACACACAATACACACACACACCGTACACACACAATACACACACATACACCGTACACACACAATACACATCGTGCACACACAATACACACACACACACCGTACACACACAATACACACACACACCGTACACACACAATACACACACACACAATACACACACACAGTACACACACACACACCGTACACACACAACACACACACAGTAAACACACAGGACACACACCGTACACACACACACACCGTATACACACAATACATACACACCGTACACACACACACCGTACACACACAATACACACACAGTACACACACACACACACTGTACACACACACACAATACACACACACCGTCACACACAATACACACACACCGTACATATACAATACAAACCGTACACACACAATACACGCACACCGTACACACAGAATACACACACAATACACACACAGTATACACACACCGTACACACACAATACACACACACCATACACACACACACAATACACACACAATACACACACACCGTACATATACAATACAAACCGTACACACACAGTATACACACACCGT